GCAACGCCACATGCCCGAAAGCAAAAATCTTTCTCTAAAAAAAAAAAAAAAAAAGAAAAGAAAGAGGCCCAGCCTAGGTGGCACAATCCCAAGTGGACTGGACTGCAGTGCTGGAAGCCACATGGCTGACCTTGGGTCCAGATCCTGAGTGAGCCTGAAAACACACTGGGCATGTGCATGGAAATCTGTGATCCTGTGGAGCTGGAGGGCCAGAGAAGGGGGATCGCCGCCAAGGGTGCTCTTCTCTCCCTCTGTCTCTCACTCACTCATGCACACTCTCTTTGAAAGAAAGAAAGAAGGAAGGAAGAAAGAACAGGAGGAAGGAAAGGAAAGGAGGAAAGAAAGGAGGAAGGAAGAAACCACTAAGAGGCTCTGAGCAGTGTGGATGGAAGAAGGGTGGATGGGTAGGTGGGTGCACATGGAGATGAAGAGCAGACAGTGGGACCCCTGAGTCTGGAGTTAAGCATGGGAAGCGTGGGGCTGGGAAGGTGAGAGCTGGGTCATGGAGATAGCATTGGAAGCTGTGGGGAGATGCCCAGGGGGTGGAGGCCCAAAGTCCAGACTGGAGGTTAGGGAGAGAAGGAGGAACCAGAGAGAACTGACGAGGTGCCAGTGAGGAGGGAGGGAAGAGAAGAGTGCAGGGCCTGGAGGCTGGGTTAGGGAGTCTACTCTTGCTCAGTTCACATATGATCTTTCCATTCTTTTTAAAAAAATTATTATTATTATTTTGGAGAAGTTTTCGCTATAGGGCACATGCACTCGCCAGAAAGACAGAGAGAGACAGAGAGACAGAAAGTGAGAAATCCCCCCAGGGGAGATGGCCACACCACAATCCCTTCTCCTTCATTCTCCTCTCAGGATCTCGGGCACACACACACACGTGCCTGGGGTGAGTTTATGCCACCAGGTCCAGGACTTGAACCGTGGTCGATTACGCGGGAGTCCAGCGACATAGCCATTATGCCAACTGCTGGTCCTAATCTTTCCATTCTTAATAAGAGGCTGCTCAGCCTCTACTTGCTTACCTCTAGTGATGGAGAGCTCACAATTCCTTGAAGGCTGTACATTCTATTTATCTGATCTGTGAATTCATTTCTTTGTTTGTTTGTTTGTTTTTAAGGTTTTTCTCATAGGATGTGTGTGCTCCCCAGAGAAAGACAGTGAGAGGGAAAGTGAGACATTACCCCTGGGGGGATGGACACTGCAATCACTTCTCCTCCTGGGATTTTGGGCCTGCAAGCACAGAGGCTCTGAGTAATTTTAAAGCCTCCTTGTCTGGGACTCGAATTGTGGTTGACCTTGTGAGTGCGGCACCTTAACCATCATGCCACCTGTTTGCCTCAATTAATTCATTTCTTACACAAAAACTAAGCTTGGCTGTTACCTGTCACACTTCTGCCCTCTTGGCCTCTTCTCCATCAGGCAAGGTGAAGACCTCAGTTGCCGCCTCTCTTCCTTAGTGCAGCCCTGCTTGGCCTCTGCTGCCCACCCCTGCCTCTAGGGAGAGCGCTCGCTCTGAGATGCTCCCTCTTCACGCCTAGCATTCAGGCCCCAAAACCTTTTCTTTCTTTTTTTTTTTTTATTATTTTAAAGAATTATTTATTTAATTTTGTGTATTATTATTATTTTTTATTCTTAAATTTGCTTTGGGCATGTGCACACACAGAGAGAGACAGAGACGGAGGGAAGACAGTGGGAAAGCAAGACTCCAGGTCTGAGACTTGAACTGTGGTCAGCCATGTGGTAGTCCAGCACCTTAACTACCATGCCACCTGCTGACCCCTAAAAACACCTTTCTTTATCACTTTTTCTGAGCTGAAACCTTTGAAGGTTAGGGATCAATGGCTCACACACATCCATGCTAACTATGTACATGTTCTCAGTGGATGGTACACACATGCATATATCAGCACTATACATGTATAAACCCACATTACACACATACATGTACAGGCATGAACACAGTTCACCTGTAATGATCTCTTGCATATATGCACAAGCACATATACACATCTGTGCGCATGGGTACACATGCACACACTTGCACACATCCACACTTGCACATATGCTCACACACACAAGCATGTACATACAGAGTTACAGATGACACTGTGCACACATATCCACACAAACATTGTCCCAAAGTTTTAAACTCAGGGAACTTTTGGGTCTTTGGCCAAGATATGGACCAAGGAAGGACCACTGTGGTGACAGAGTGGGTGAACCCAAGGGTGCCAGGCCTGGGTGAGCAGAACTGAGCTGTTACTGACTGGGGAAGGTTGCTCTTGGCTAGTCTTGTGGAGGCACAGGGGTTACTGATGACGTGAAGGCCTTGGTAACAGCAGATGGTCGCCTAGCGACCTGGTCTCTGCAGGCAACAGCTCAGCTTTTCCTAGCAACCAAGGCCTTTTGGTCCCCACCTGGCCTCCCTGGGGGCATTTCTGAAGACATCCCCTGCACATCCCTCAACCTGATTAGAAGCAGGAAGGACTGGTGGCTCGTCTGCCATGCGAGCCTCACTGGCTTGGGAGCTGGTCCCAGGGCTGGGCTGGGGCTCTCCCCGTCTACTCTTCATCCACTGATCTCAGGCTGAGGATGGAAGTCACAGCTCCCAGTTGAACTCCTGCACCATGGGCACCTTTGCCGGCCAGGACGGCGAGACCCAAGTAGGTGGCTGCTTCTTCCTGAAGGCTCCCCTTCTTCCTCCTTTCAGGGATGGGACATTTAGGGGACCCTACTTTAAGGAAGCTGCTGAATTGCTTGGAAAAGGAAGAGACAACTGGTAAACTCTAGCAAGCTGGCTGCCACTGTTGCTCCCTAAATCTTTAATTTGGAAAGCCAAGGGGCCCTTCAGGAAGCCCACCAGCCAGTCTGTTTGTTTCTCTACTTGGCAATCCATGGGTCTTGGGAACTTTCTAGAAGCTGATGGCCTGCTGCTTCTCAGCCAGGCATGAGGGAGCCTTGGAAGCCACTGGGCACATGGTGGAGCAGGGACAATGTGACTTTGGTCCAGGGGCCCCAAAGCTGCCTCTGGTGGTGCAGATAGGGCCACGTTGGGCTTGTTAGTTGTCTCAATATCTGGAGATGTTTATGAAAAATGTTCCTCAACTCACCGTGGGTGACTTCATAACCCTGCAGATCACACCTCCTCTGGGATTCATAATAGCCATGACAAGAACAATAATAATAACAGCTGCCATTGACTAATACTTTATTCTGTGCCAGACACCGATCTCGGGCAGCCTGAATGGCGGGTTGTTATTAATCCCATTTCACAGATGAGAGAACTGAGACAGTTCCCTGTGTGTCTGGGGCCCCTGCCAGGGAGGGCAGGGCTGGGGCTCTGCCTCAAGTTGAGCTGGCTCCAAAGTGAACACTTGGAATCACAGACAAGGAAGGCTGTTTACCACTGTTCAGAGATGAAGAACCCAGACAGTGCCTGACGGGCTTTTGTGACTTTTTGCGACATGCGCTTCCATCAGCCCTTCTGAATTCATTCAAACAAGTCAAGCTGCACAAGCCAGGCAAGTTCTTCCCACATGACAGATGGACAAACAGAGACAACCCTAGCACTTGCAGGTGACTCGTTCAAGGCCATACGCACAGTCATTTCCTGTCTGGTACCGAAATGAGCAGGCCCCCGGGAAGCCTTAGGCTGGGACAGTGAGCAGTTCATTTCCTGGGCAAAAATCCAATAGCAGAAATCTCTAAAACAAACAAACAGAAAATCAGACAGAGGGCCAGCCGGTGGTGTGGTGATTAAGGTGCTGGATCCCACATGTCTGACAGCACAGTTCAAGTGCCAGACCTTGTGGCTTAAAATTCAACACGCTGGACACACGTGCCCAAAATCCTGAGAGGGGAATGGAGGAGAAAGGATTGGACCTTTCTCACACAGTCCCCCCACCCCATCTCTCTTGGTCAAGCATGAATGCCCTATAGCTAATTTTTAAAATATCAGACAGATAAAGTAGCTTTTAGATAGAAGATGATGTTTCGAGATCTAATACTGACATATAAATCTTTCTGCAGATGCTGTTACAACACACAGACACACACACACAGTTTTCACACACATCTGTGGGGGCTGCTTTCTCTCTCTCTGCATGAGCCTTCTGGTAATAAGAAAAATGCAGAACAAAACAAAACATGCAGTGTGGGTTCCTTCTGAAAATAAGAAGATGGGGCCAGCCCATAGCCCGCCCGCTAAGGGAGCTCAATCTTACCTGGCTGACCGTGTACCCAGCAGCTTGAAAAACAGGGAACCAGCAGTTAGCGTAATGGCTGTGTCGCTGGACTCCCACGTAGTAGACCGCGGTTCGCGTCCCGGACCCAGTGGTTTAAAACCCACGCCGGGCACGTGTGCGTGCGTGCCCAAGATCCCGAGAGGAGAATGGAGGAGAAGGGATTGTGACGTGGCCATCCCCCCTGGCGGGTGATTTCTCGCTTTCTGTCTCTCTGTCTCTGTCTGTCTGGCGAGCGCACGCGCCCTATAGCAAAAACCTCTCCAAAAAAAAAAAGAAAGAAAAACACACCCAGCATGTAAAAATGCATGCTCAAAATCAGACGGAGCCCGGCAGATGGCAGAGTGGTTAGGCACTGGACTCCCACATGGCTGACTGTGGTTTGAATCTTGGACCCGGTTACTTGCTTTCTTACTTTCTCTCTCTCTCTCTGGTGAGTGTGTGTGCTCTGTAGCAAATTAAAAACAATAATAATAAAGATTAATAACATTAAATAATTCTTAAAAACAAATCCTGAGACAGGGTGGAGAAATGGAGATGGGATTGCAGTGTGACTACACCCCATGGGAGAGGCTTTCTTCTCCTTCTCCCTCTTTCTCTCTGTCTCTCTATCTCTCTATGGTAAGCACACATACCCTCTGGATATTAGAAAAGAAAGGCACCTCCTCCCCAGGTGTCCAACCACGTAGAGAGCAGGGTCGCCATTTTCACATAGACAAGGGCTTTCCAATCGGCTGCAGTCCTCTCCGTTCTCTCTAATCTTGCCCCAGGCCCTGTCACTCATGTGTGGGGGCTGCCTGGGCCACCCGCCCTAAACCTTCAGCTGTTGCAGTGTGGCTCTCATTTCACGGCATGGAAAGAACCTGGGTGTGGTTTGAGACAATTTGCTGTGTGATTTTGTCCAGGCCAGATCAACCCTCTTGGCTACACTTTGCTCATACTCCCTGCCCGCCTGCATCCCCAAGGTTGACCTGAGACTCTCCAGGGGGAAATCCTGGGCATATATCCTGAGCACCCTGCCGTGCCCTTTGGGCTACACCCCAAGACAGCTCTCCTAACTGTCCTCTGTGCTTTCCTTCACACGTGCTGTTCCCCCCCATCCCAAATGCCCTTCCACTCCCAATTCTTGGTGGTAAAATCATCCTCCTTCAGACCCATCTACAGGCCACCTCCTCTGGGAAGCCCTACTTTCCGGCAGAGTCTTAGGCATCCTGACAGCCCCTTGCAGAGTGTGTGTCTCATGCGAGGTGACTGTGAGCAGGATGCTGCCCTGTGAGCCTCACAAGGGTGAGGGCCAGTCCTGGGGCACCACTGTGTCCCCAGCTCCTGGCCCAGAGCTTGCACCAGTAGGTCTGAATCATTTAGCCCCTAACCCAGCCCTTTCCTCCTGCCTCCTGGTCACAGTGTCCTCCTGCTGGGTAGCTGCTGGGTGGCACAGGCAGACCAGGACGGAGTAGACGAGCCAGAAGAGCGGAGCATCTGGAACCAGGTACGGAGGAGCGCCAGGCACCCAGGCACCTGTGAAGGCTGGGGCCTGGTCTGTTTCATTTACCAGGGGGGTTTTCTGCTGGCGAGATGCCTGCAGGACAGAGAGAGCAGGGTGGTGGGCCCTGCAAAGTCCCAGGTCTTTCCAGGGGCCAGATGGCATCAGGAAGGGGCTTAGCCAGGGCGAGTCACCTGATTCCAGTGCTCTTGTGCTAGAGCCCTCACCTGGCCGCCTGCCTGTGGGCTCGTCTCCTCCCCGCACTGGGCCTCAGTGGCTTGCACACTGTGAAGTGCAGTCCTGGGGTGGGGCGTCTGAGGCAGCTGCTTTCATTGCTGGGTCCCACCTGTATAGGACTGCATGGGGGTGGGGGTTCTTGTCATCATACCGGGCAAGTGCAGGACTTAGGGCCTGGGGCTTCGGTGTGCACTGCCCTCTACAGGTTGTAGGATGCCCAGAAGGTGACCTAGAGGGCCTAACCACCTGGGCCCTGGAGGACTCCTGAACTGAAGGCTGAGTTCCTGAGGGGTGGGCTTAGGCGAGGGCTGGGCAGAACTGACGCTTGTTCCCACTTTACATTTTGCAGGAGCTGCAGGGGACGGCTGCTGACAGCTCCGCAGGTAGGGGCGTGGTGGTGAAGGTGGTGCACTGCACAAGGTTGTCCGGGATACTTTTAGGATTGAGGCAGCCTCGGGGCAGGGATGACCCCTCCTCCTCTCCTCCATCTTCTTCCCTCTCCCCCACAAGTTCAGCCCCCCCACTCCTCATCCTCAGGCAAAACCCATCCTTGTGACTTGGGGGCATATATATTTGTCTTGAGGGCCCTAGGGGACTCCCACCAAACCCCTACTGCCGCCTTCTCTCAATGGAATGCAATGCAGCTGTGTGGGCTGCTGTCCAGGACACCCGGTCCAGTCCCATCTCAGCAGCAGCTGGCTGGGTCACAGCAGCGTCATCCCCATTGGCGACACCTCCCTCAGCACCCATCACAGTGCTGGGTGCCACTCAGATTAAGGCTTTTGATTGAAAATTGGGCTGGGCTGCTGCTGCTGTGTCCCGGCCTCCACGTCTCTGTACGGGTCTGCCCCAGCTGCTGAGTCCAGGCTGTGCCCAGCACGTATCTTTGCTCCTTTACCCCTCCCAGCCCCAACCCTGAGAATACCAGGAACAGTGGGGACAGAGTCCAGGGCAGAGGGACTCCAAGCCAACCCTGTCGTGCAGGCGTCTGCCTGACACACCTCTGCGTTCCTCAAGCCACTGGTGCTTCGGATGCCCTGGGACGCAGATGGACCATTTCACGGATGGGAAGACGGAGGCTCGGTGTGTGCTGGATTTGACCAAGAGGTCAAAACCCGCATTTCACTCCTGGCCTCTCCCTTCTCCTTGCCGTGTGACCTAGAGCCAGGTCTGTGACCCCTCTGAACAATGGCTCCCAAATTAAGAAAAACAGGGCAATAATATATACATACCTCCCAGGTTGCTGGGCAGAGAAATGGGAAAAGACATTAAAGAGATCCTAGTGTGGGGCCAGCAGATGGCATAATGGTTATGTCGCTGAACTCCCATGTAGTCAACTGTGGTTCAAGTCCCAGACCCAGCAGCTTAAAAAACTCATGCCGGGTGCATGTGCATGCGTGCCTAAGGTCCCGAGAGGAGAATGGAGGAGAAGGGATTGTGGTGTGGCCATCCACCCCTGGTGGTGGGGGGGTTACGTCTCGCTTTCTGTCTCTCTATCTTTCGGGCGAGTGCCCGTGCCTATAGCAATCTCTAAAACAAACAAACAAACAAAAAACAAAGAGAGAGAGACTTAGTGCTGTGGCTAGCACTGAGGAAGGAGTTGACATGGGGACAGGGGTGCTGTGGCCAGCCAAATGCTGCCGAGAGGGGACTGGACCCAGCATCCTCACCCTGGGTGTATGAGTTTGCACCCCACCTGCTCTTTGAAGAGCAGCCTCTGTTCATGGGGACACATCTCTGTAGGAATCTGCTAAACCAGGCCCAGTGCTAGGCCCCACATGGATGGGCAAGGCCAACACCAGCCAGGCACAGACTCAGGCTCCGCCAGGCTGGCTCTGCCCCCGTGCCCAGGTGATTTAGAGGCAGGTGGTCTGGGAACCACACGCTGACAATGCCAGGCACAGCCAGTAGTTGGTCGCTACTCAGAAGTGTGGCTGTCGAGCCGGTGCCTTTGACCTCCCTGGGAGCCGGTTAGAAATGCAGACTCTTGGGCCCTTCCAGACCTGCTGAGTCAGTCTGCATGTCAGCAAGACCTGCTGAGTGGTCTGCCGGCAGTGAGTCAACGGCCTTGAGTTCTGGCTCTCAAACTGACTACACGCTGGAATCCCTCAGGAGGGGAGATTTACAAATTCCTAGTCAGGCCTCGCCTGAGACCATTAAATCTGAATCTCTGGGGATGGGCCTGTGCCCCCAGAAACTGTCAAACCACCCTAATGGGAAGTGAACGACATGCAGCTCAGGTTGAGAGCCAGGCCCTAGGAGGAGTTACTGCCCTGGTTGGAAGCGAAATTAATGGACTTTCAGGGTTTCTTTGGACTGAAATAAAATTACTTGTTTGAGTTCGGGACTCTTTGGGGCTAAGAGTCCGAGAGTCTCTGAGTTCTGGGTTCCGCGGTGCTGACTTTTCTGAGTATAGGACAGAAATGCTGCTGGTTGTTGGTAAGTGGGAAGACCCAAGAAGCTGGGGTTCTGGAGCTGTCCCTTGAGCCCTGTGACTTGATGACATGTGAGATATTGAGTTCCAAGGACGAGAGGACACTTCAGACTTTGGTGTTGGGGCTACACACGCGAGTGGGCCCAGGCTGGTCTGTGTCGGTACCGAGGGAGGAGCGCCCTACAGTGCCTGCCCCAACTCTGCTCCCAATTGCAGTCCCCAAGGGGCCACCTCTGCAAGAGCCTCTGCCCCAGCACCATGGCTCAACCAGCCCGGGACGTGGAGCTGAATCGTCTGGTCCAAGACCAGCCACATGACCAGGTGGCACCCGGGTCCGGCCCCCCAAACCTGGTGGAGAACCTCCCTAACGTGCCCAGCTACCGCCCCGCAATCACCCGCATCCCTGTCCTCGTCTCCCGGAGAACCGCCTTGTCCAACTCCAGCTTCGCCAGGGAGGCCAGGAGCTCCATCCGTCGCCTAGGTAGTGATCCCGCCCTCCCAGCGTGTTGTGCCTATGGCGTGTACTTTCTGCATGGCTTGGGCTGCCTTCCCGCATGCTGCCACTGCCATGGCATGGGGACATTCCAGGCCGTGCTCATGGAAAAATGCTCCCTCTTCTGCTCAGCAGTGCCTTCATCCTGCTAGCAGGTGGCGACTTGAAGGGCTGTAGGTGGGGGGGATCGAAGTTGTAGGGGCTGTGAGAGCTTTGCCCCTCCCAGCTCCCTGAGACAGCCTCGCAGATGCTGAAGTTGGGCAGCTTTCTGCTGCCCGGGGCCGCTCTGGGGCCCTGCCCTTGTCCAGGCTGTCTCTACGCCCACCCCTCCTTCCGGTTCACCTCTGTGGGTTTGCTGGGAAGGACGGTTTGGTCCCCTCTGCTTCAGACTCTCTTCTCTTTCCCAGAGGAAGTCTGGGAGAGTCTTTGATTTTGAAGAACTGATTTCTGCTCATCCTCTTCCCTGGAGGCAAAACAAATGCCAAAGAGTCTTGAGGCCACCTACAGTCCCTCCATCAAACTTTAAATAAGTGTAAGCAACTCCACAGCACACTGGCTTTTCTCATGGGGGTGGTATTTACTTATTTAGAACCTTATTTGTTTATTTAATGAGAGAGAAAGACAGAAAGAGAGAGAGACATGTACTCACAACAGGGCCTCAGGTTGTGATATTACCCCCTAGCCTCCCAGTCAGCCAGGACCACAGGCATGAAGGTTCATGCCTGGTGTGAGCAGGTCGACCCAGGATCCAAACCCAGGCCACCCACGTGGCTCCAGCTGAAAGGCTGGGGTGGAGAGGGAGAGGTTGCAGCCTGAGGGTTCTTACCTCTCTCTCTCTCTTTCTCTCAGTAAATAAGTAAATAAACTTTTTTGTTATTTCCAGAGGATGCATGTGCTCACCAGAGAGAGAGAGAGAGAGAAAGAGAACAACCCCAATGTGGCCATAGCTGTGCTGCAATCCCTTCTCCATTTCTCTCTACTGCTGGGATTTGGGGCATGCACGCACATGCACCCAGTGTGTTTTTCAAGCCACTCGGGTCAGGATTCAAACTGTGGCAGAAGCTGTGTGGGATGTGGCTCCCTTACCCACTAGGCTACAGGGCCAGCCTAACAAAATAAACTTTCAAAATAGAAAGAATCTGATTCTTATCGGACAGGATACCAAGCCTCGAAGGTTCAGACCTGGGCTGGCTGATAAATTTCGGGCTCTTGTTGTATACAGGAACAAGGAAATGCCACAGCAGGTACCTCAACCAGGGGTGCCCAGGCTACAAAGATAGCATGTTATCCTCTCCATTTGAGGGTCTGCAAGCATGCGAGGTTTTGTATCTCCTGGCCCCGCCCTCACAGGCCTGGGAAGGCATGATCACCCCTACCTTGTGGTGGAGAAACCCAGTCTCAGAGAGGAGAAGCAGCTGACCCAGCTGTACCAGGCCAGGCCCCACGGCTTGGCTCTCCTGGGATTTCCAAGCCCTCTCTGGGGGCTCCACCAGACTCAAGAAAATGAGGCTTGGCTTTGCAGAACTGGGCTGCAGGCGGTGTCTGGGAGCTCCTGTGGCTTTTGTGACATTATGACTTCCTTTGTGGCTCCCGCGCTGGTGGCTGGGGTGGCTGTGGCTTTCAGAAGACCCTGGGCTCTGCATTCTTGCACTTCTGCCATGGAGCTTTCATGTGGCACCTGTTGGGAAGTGAAGCTGCCAGAGGCCTCCTCAAATGTGTCTTTTGAGTCTTTTTCCAAGCAGACAGCCAGATGCCTGGGACCTCACTTCTCTCTGTCTCTGACCCTCTCCTCTCCTCCCTCTCCCCCAGTACCTGCCACGAAAGAGCACCCAGAAGTTCAGGTGGAAGATACTGATGCTGACAGCCACCCCCTTATCGTGGAGGAGAGTCCACCTTCACCAGAGCTGCTGCCACCTTCACCTGCCAAATCTGACACCCTCACAGTCCCAGGCTCAGCCTTGGGGACCCACAGGTCACTGTTTATGCTTCTCTTGGGCTTCTCTCTCTCTCTTTTTTAGAGGTTTTTGCCTTAGGCATGTGTTCTCGTTGGGGAGAAAGATAGACACAGAGAGAGGGAAAGTGAGAAATCACCCTCTGGGTGGATGGCCATGCCGCAGTCCCTTCTTCTCCGTTCTCCTTCCAGCATCTTTGGATGTGCATGCACATGCACCTGGTGTGAGTTGCAAGCCACCAGGTCTGGACTCAAACTGTGGTCAACCATATGGGAGTCCAGTGACGCAACTGCTACGCCATTTGCTGGTGTCTTGGGCTTTTCTCAACCCTCTACCACCTATTCATTTGTCAGATGAGGAAACTAAGACCAGGGAGGGCATACAACTGGCCCAAAGTTACACAGCGAGTTTGTGTTAGAACTGGAACTATGACCGTCTTTCCTGCTTCTAGTTCCGGAAATAGGGCCGTGGTCTATAGGGAGTAGGGCCATGAGTTTGGTTACTTTAGATACCTCATGTACGAAGACCCATGCAGTATTTGTTTCTTTGTGATTGGCCTATTTCATTTAGCATAATGTTCTCAAGGGCCGTCTACGTTGTTGCTTGTGACAGGAGTTCCTTCTTTGTAAAGGCTGAATACTATTCCATTGTATGTATGTGCCATGTTTTGTTCGTACATTCATCCATTGACGGACATTAAGGTTGTTTCTACCTCTCAGCTAACTATGGCAAATAATGCTGCAATGAACACATGAGGGTTCAGATATCTTTGAGATTCTGATTTTAATTCTTTTGGATAAATATCTAGAAGTGAGAGTACTAGATTATATTTGAGGAGCCTCCACACAAAATTTTTTTTAAAGCTTATATATTTTCTTTTTTTTTAGAGGTTTTTCTAGAGCACATGCACTCACCAGAGACAGAAAGTGAGATATCACCCTCCAGGTGGGATGACCATGCTGCACTCCCTTCTCCCCTCAGGATTTTGGGCATGTACATGCGCATGCCCCGCATGAGTTTCAAGCCATTGAGTCTAGAACTTGAACCACAGTTGGCCAAGTGAGAGCCCAGTGCCTTAACCGCTATGCAGCCTGCTGACCTCAAAGCTTATTTATTTTAGTCATGATAGAGAGCATGTGTGTGCATGAGAGAGAGAGAGAGAGACCCTTGATAAGGTCTTATCATGCCACAATTCATCTTTCCCTGTCCTCCAGCTATCGAGATCTTTGGCCCATGCACATGGGCCCAGCAAATTCTCAGGCTGATCCAAGGACCTGAATCTGTGGTCTAGCCATGTGACCCTTAGGACTGCAGTTCAGTTTGCTACCAACTGTGCACCAGTCTGGCCTGCTCTATGTTTTGGTGGTTGTACCATTTTACATGGCCACCCACAGTGGACTAGGGTTCTAGTTTCTCGACATACTCACCAACACTTCTTATTCTCTGTTGTTGTTTGTTTCTGATAATGAACAGATATGAGGTGATATTATGGATTTGATTTGCATTTGCTTGATTAGTGGTATTGAGCATTTGTTGGCCATTTGTATGTCCTCATTGAAGAAATGTCTGTTCGGGACCAGCAGTTAGCGTAATGGCTATGTCGCTGGACTCCCACGTAGTCGACCGTGGTTCGTGTCCCGGACCCCGGCAACTTAAACTCAGGCCGGGTGCATGTGCGTGTGTGCCCAAGATCCCGAGAGGAGAATGGAGGAGAAGGGATTGCGGCATGGCCATCCCCCCTGGGGGAGTGATTTCTCGCTTT